TCATCGAGTCCAACCACTAAAAAACAAAACAAAACAACCAAAAAAACCAAACAAAAACAAACAAACAAAAAAAAACCACACCAAAAAAAACCCAAAACAAAACAAAAAACCACCGTCCACTAATTAAACACACAACAACAACCAAACCAAAAAAACCATCACCCACCCACTCAGCAGCCCACGACAAACCAATAATCTTGGGCACTAGAGCATGCCCTGAAGAAACATGTCTACACGTTTCTTAAATACCTCCAGGGATGGTGACTCCACCACCTCCCTGGGCAGCCCATTCCAATGCTGGATAACCCTTTCAGTAAAGAAATGTTTCCTAATATCTAACCTGAACTTCCCCTGGCGTAACTTGAAGCCATTGCCCCTTGTCCTGACATCTGTAACTTGGGAGAAGAGACCGACCCCCGCCTCTCTACAGCTTCCTTTCAGGTGCTTGTACAGAGCTATAAGGTCGCCCCTCAGTCTCCTCTTCCCCAGACTGAACAACCCCAGCTCCCTCAGCCTTTCCTCATAAGACTTGTGCTCCAGACTAAGACTTGTGCTCCAGACAATTTGGTGGAGAATTTTGTGATTCACATTTTTCACTATGAGAATCAAGTGAAATGCATTTTTATGGTTGTTTTTGATGCCATCCTGTTATGATTCCTCACCTTTTCTCGATTGTCATGATGAAATGGAGGGGGGGAAAGGTGGAGTTATTGCGAAGTTGTGACTTGTGGTTTGGAAAAAAAAAAAAAATCTGTAAGTTATATGGCAAAATACCTTATGTGGTGTTTAGTGAGAAAATGCTGTAGTGAGATTCATGTTGTACTTCTGGAGAGGTGGTTTTGACTTGTACTGTGCTTGAAGACTTCAGCCAAGTTGTTCATGGTTGTGATACATGCAGACTAATAACAAGAGGAAATAGTTGTTCCAAGTTCAGTGTGCCTGAGGAAGCACAGCTTTCTGAGGAATAGTTTGCATCATTTCCAAAGAAAGTAAGGGTAGTTGGTGAATGGAATCTGTGTTGTCTGCAAATGGTACAAAAAAGTTGAGTACTCCTTTGATGGCTTTTAGTAATAAAGTTTGTGGCATTGTGAAAATCGTTGTCAACTTTTCAGGGATTTTCTGAGCAGTAAGAAGTTTTCAGTTCATCAAACAGTGTAGTCACAAACTTATCTTGCTCAGTGATGGATGTTTGGTTTCTGAATATTGCCGTCTTGAATACTTCATGCTTTTGATATCCATTAAGTGCTGTGGTTTTAATTCAGAACTGTGAACAATTCAGAACTGTGCCCTTTTTTTTTTTTTTTTCTTTTTTTTTTTCCTCTTTTGGTTAGACTTCAAAGTATGACTTTTCATTCTGAGCTAGAGGTGAAGCAACCAGCCACTGTCTGTTTTCAGGAGATGATTCATCTTTGTGAATAAGCCTTCAGCTGGGGCTAAGCTTTCGGTACCACCAAGCAGTACACCGTAAGTGTAAATACTGCAAAGACCTTCATGTCTTCGTCATTACAGCTGATTAGATTTGAGGTCCTGTTGCAGTCGTTTGTGTTATCCCATTTTCTGTGAATGTGGTCAGCTAGACTTTGTTTTATTAGCTACTTTGAATAAGAGGCTTTGTTCTGTATTTACAAAATAAAGCCAGGCAGGGTTCTTTCTCAAGAGACTCGTATATCAATTTTTATCCTTTTTTTAATTTATAAAGCTGTTCTTTATAAAAGCCAAGGTTCTTGGTTACCCTCCTGGTTCTGCTTTGGAACTGTACTTTTGATATGCTTAATAATCCGTATACAAAAAGAGAAGCTCAATGGGTTTCGGGCTTTTATTTAATACACAGCATGTGTTCTTACATATTGTTACTCACAGACGTATGCATGCTTCCTCAATAAGCAATTTTCTTCCCTCTTTTATCTTAGAGTAAGACTCTGTAAATGAGCCCTAACAGTACTTGGCCTTTTGCAGAAACTGAACTGGTTTGGGGTGAGTGAACGTGTCTGCATGTGCATGTTAGAGGGAAGGGGTTGATGTTTGCGTCTGAACCTTGCATATTGCTCTGTAATTCATCATCTGGGTTTGCAGCCTTGGCATGACAGAGGCAGCGCTCCGTAGGTCAGCTGAAACACTATAGCACATTCTCCCTCTGCTGTATCCTGTTGGTTTATGACTTCTTAGGGTCAGAGGGAGCTGGGGTTAATTCAGCAAAAGAATCCTCTGACTGTGATATAAATTCCTCGGCTAGTTCATAAATTTTAAAAGAAATTCTATGGCCTGCTCCTTGGGCTTGAAAACTGGGAGCCAGGAGGTTAATTACTTCCCTAAAGTTTCAAGCAACTTTCAGTGTTAACAGTTGCTGGCTGC